AAATAGGTGAAAATAAGTTTGTTAATTTATTATAGTTTAATAATTTAATTAGAAATTATTTTGGGAATTAATTAAATAGTCTTAATTAATTAAATGTTTGAATATTAATTAGTTAAATGTTAACTGACTGGAATGTTCCTAAACCCAGGATAAGGAGAAATTCGAAAATCACTTCATCCAACATGGAATGGGAGATGAAACTCAAAATTCACTCCATCCAACATGGGATCGGAGATGAAACTAATGCAATGATCCATGCTATAAGTAGAGTGCTTATAGCATCTCCAATGGTAAACCTATCCTATTATAATACTTTTGAACTCTAATTAAATAAACCCTCCAATGATTGAGCTTTTTTAATAACCTTATTTACTTATTGACCCTCATTTATCTAAAATGTTCATAAAATTTTTCTCATTTAATTAATTATCTTTAAACATATTATACTTTAATATTAAATATTTTAAATTAAGGTTATCATTAGAAATTAATACATAAATATTTCATAAATTAAAAACTATGACATAAATAATTAAGTAGTTAAATAAATGAAAAATATTTAAAACTAGAATATAATTAAGGGCTAAATATAAAATATGTTAAAAGTAGAAGGGGTGAAGTGTTTAATGCTTGATACTATATTGACCACTCAATATATATTGAGTGGTCAGTATAAATACACAAAAAGCAATTCACTCCGATGGTGTTAAATGCAAATAAGTCATGAATCAATATAAAAAAGCTATAAAATAAGTTCCCATTAGGGATGCTCTTAGGATTTTCTTTCTCCTTGAACATTGGCTTGATTTTTCGCCGTCCTTCTTCCTCCCCTTTTTTAGTGGATGATTTCTTACCCTCTTAGGGTTTGTGAAATTGACCATCATCCTAGTTTATTTTCTAGTACTCTCTTGGAGTCTTGGGTATGAAACAAAAAGGGATTCATTCTACTGGTCCTCTTCATCTAAAGCAAAGGTGGTTGTGATCAAATCTTAGTTGAGGAGTCTTCCAAAATATCAAGAAGATCAAGAACACCAAGAGGTTAGTAATTCTTATGTTATTTTTCATAATTAGGTTGCTATAATAAAATAAACCTAGATCATTTAGGGTGCATGCACATATATGCTTTTATATTTCTTCCGTTGCCATAACTAGTGTGTATAGAATGCTAGAAAATCTATCATTATTGTTTTTAACTCAATTAGAAATAGAAGCATATTTTAGTTCTAAATAAAAGTTGCATAGAAAGGTGTGTGTTTCTATTTAATTAAGTTAGGTTTCCTTTCCAATTAATATACACTAGGATGAATTGAATAATTTGCATATTGTAAAGATTTTTTGATTGTCATTACTACAAATAAAATTTAGAGTTATATTTTTAATTTTCTTACCGTGATTTTAGAGATTGAAAATTGATTTTTGGGAGCATAAAGAACAAAAGCTTGAATCTTAATAAAATGAGGATACTTCCAAGAGGTGGTATGATTTTTTTTGTGGGCCTTTTTATGTCATCGTCCCTCTTCCTATTTTTTGTATATGTGTGATGTTCTCTCTGTTTTAAATCTCTTCGGTTCTTAGTTCGGTTTGGGTCGGGTCCAAAACCGTACATCCATAAAGAGCACACTTACTTGTAGAATCGAACTAGAACCGGGACTGAGGTATCCAATCCTGTTTTCATTTCAGTTCTCCATTTTCCACTAAATTGATTCTTGGTTCTTCGGTATTTGATATAGTTCAATATAGGTTCGGACCGACGTCATCCCTAATGACGACATATATAATTAATTGACAACTTTCTTTTCAGTTCAGATTTTATTTAAATTTTAGTAAATATTATATATAAATTAAATATCTAACTATTACTTGCTTGATGTTACAAAATAATCATCAATAACTCTCAAATTGTTGTGTAAGTCACTTGTCTCTTAGTCATACTCAATAGGCTAATAAACTTTTATTTTTCTATGTTCCGTTACACCATTAGAGTAGATTTCAACCTATGTTTTCTAACAAATAAAGATAAAATATCTACCAGTTTGATAAAAAAAAGAGGAGCGATGAGAACCCAAAAATAGCGAGTACGAGAAACAATTCGTAAGAGCAACAAGCAATCGACAAACCCTAATTATGGAGTGACACACGTTGGTCCAGATTGAGAGTGCCAATGTGAGTAGTGGCTCGATGACGGGGATATAAACTCAACGACACAATGGGACTGGAGAATAAATGATTGTGAGAGAGAAGAAAACAAATAGTTCATGATAGGTTCGGAGTGAGGGTTCTGAGTTTTGAGTTTTGAATGATTCATAATTTTTGGTTCTTTTGGATGATGGTTGAAGTTAGACCTAGCAATCAGTGTTTGCGTGTCGTGTATTCGTGTCAGACACGAATTTACACGACACGAATTTGGTAAACACGAACACGACACGAATTATAAAACGTGTTTGGGGTGTCAAACACGAACACGACACGTAAAAAATTCGTGTGACACGTGACACGACACGAATAGACACGTTTTTTAACCGTGTTACATGAATACACAAATAAACACGATTTTAATGTCTTTTTAGCTAGGATGACAATAACATGCAATGATGCAAATAAACACGATTTTATGTTTTACGTAATCGGTCCCTAGTATTTTATACATCTAAAATTTAACCCTAAAATATATATATATATATATATATATATATATATATATATATATATATATATATATATCGTACGTGTCACGTGTCAACACGAATTTTATCATGTCTTATACGTGTCTAAATAGGTAAATTCATGTTTGACACGTGTAAGACACGAACACGAATTTAAAATACGTGTCAGACACGAATAGACACGAAACACGAATTTCTAAAACACATACACGGAAAACTCGTATTGTTTTCATGTCGTGTATGAAATTGCCAGGTCTAGTTGAAGTCTAGATAGTGATTGAATTTTTCGATATTTTGAATATTTCAACATTTTTCTTTTTCTTTAGTTATATATTATTTAGTTATCTATTGGTAGATATTTTAAAGATTATGAAAACAAAAGGTCTTTTAAATGTTCTATTACTTGAGTTAAGGATGAGCATCATTTTGAATTATTTAAATGTTTTCATCATTCTAAAATTGTAAAACAAAGGAATTTGGATGAGACATAATATATCTCGTGGAAAATATAGTTTATACAATAAGCATGACTTAATCATAGTAGGATTATATTTAACTGTAACACAAAAATATACTCCTTAAGAAGATTCTCTTTTGGTTTTTAAAAACGAATATGTCAAGAAAAAAAATCACAACTCCTACATGTTTTTATAACTATAGACGTATGAAAACGAATATGTAAAAAATAGTAAATAAAATTTTAAAAATAATAATTATTTAAATACATTTTTTTTAAAAATGCACACATAAAAATGAAAATATAAATCTTTGTAAAAAATAATTTTCTAAAGAATACTAATTTTATAAACACAAGTTGAAAAAAACAAAAGATGTAAAAAATAATTTTTGTAGAATATAGAAAACACATTAAAAAAATATAATTTATAAACTCAAAGAAATCTAAAAAATCAAATTTTGTAAAGCTGTAACAAAATATTTTTTTAAAGCCTAAATAATAGGAAATATATAAAAGGAAAGTTGTAAAAAAAAAGTTTAGACCAAATTTGTAATAAAAATTTAAAAAGATGGGTCAAAGTGCAGAATAAAAAAACGTAAGGACCAGTTTTAGTAAAAGATAAAAATGTGGTTTAAAAATTAAAAAACAAAAGTTAATGGAAATGTTATTTTGTTAGTATGGTAATTTAGGAATGTTTTATGAAAAGAACCGTTAGAAATCGGAAGTCGAAAGGGTTGAGTCGGTGTATTCGCGCTTAAAATAAGCTTCTTCACTCATCCCTCTCGCTTCTCTCCAAACACCATACATACATGTTTGTTTGAAGAAGAGGGTTTTATCTGGAGGTATCACCTTCCTCTCTTTTTCTTCTATCGACACCACCGTTTCCTCGTTCTTTCATTCTCCGGCGTTCAACAATCCTCTGCGTTTCCTTCTTCCTCTGTTAGGTAACGTTCTTGATTTTTTTTTTTTTTTTGTATATTATTGATTTCGTTTTTGTTTTTGTTAGGTATTTTAAATTATGCTAAGATTCTTCAGGTCTCCCTTCATCACTGTATTCATCGGGCTATTGGGTTCTTCATCACTGTACCTTTATATTGTGTAGTTGTAGTATGACGTCCGATGTCAGTTTGGTTCACCGTCATCATCGATCAAGAAAAAGAGTACAGGTCTTTCTCGTCTGGTTTCTAGGTTATGTCTTTTCTCCTCGGATTTCTGGGTTTCTTTTTTTCTTTCTATTTCTCGTCCATTTATTTTTTGTTTTGTTGGTTTTTTGAACCAGGTCACCTAATGGAAGGCACCCATCAAACGAAGATGATTGGTCACGCAATAGTTAAGTTTAAATAGTCTTGAAACTCAAAAAAGTACTGTTTTTGGTTGTAGATTCTTCTTCTGTGCACTTTAGGTGTTTGATGAAATGTCTTAATGTTATTGGATTAAATTATTGAGCTATTAGAGATTCAATTAGGGAAAGAAAATTTATTGTTTGTAGTTTTAACTCAATTAGAAATAGAAGTGTATTTGGTTCTAACTAAGAGTTGCCTATAATTAATATACGTTATTAGGCTGAAGTGTAAAATTTCCATATTTGAAACAGATTTTGATTGTCATTGCTACAAAAATATATGGGCTTATGTTTGTAATTTTCTTACTGCAGGATTTTTAGAGATTGAAAATTGATTTTTGGGGGCATAAGGAAAGTAAGCTTGAATCTTAATCAAATGAGGATACTTCCAAGAGGTGTTGTGATTTTTTTAACAATTTATATGCTGAGCTTTTTGTTTCAAGGCTACTACAAAGATATGATTCTATAATTCTGTTTGTTTATTTCCAGAAATACCCCTCTATTCCTAAAACTTGTGCTTATATATTATCTGCAGGATATGATGGGATTATCTTACTTCATGTTGAATCAATCAAAAAAAGATGCTGAATATTGCACAAAAAACACCTTCAGCACTTATTTAGTATGCCTGGTAGATCTTTACATCAGGGAAGGAAATGCCTCATGGTGGATTGAAATGTTAAAATCAAGTGGTCAATATAAAGAGGTGCTGATGTATACTTTCGTATCTCTGATGAGGTAATAATCAATTCCCTTTTGTGAATAAAAAGTATTATATATGGGATTTTTGTTAAAAAACTTCAGTTTTTTGTAGGAACCTCTTCATTCAGCTGTGATTATTGTTGTTGTTACCTTTTTTTAGCCAAATGAATTATGTTAAGAAAGTATGGATTTCAATTATTACCTTATCATCATATATCTTAATACTTTAATAGAAGATAATTTTGTTTTCCAATTAGTACTTAATAGATAATTTTCATTATCGAATATATGAAAATAACCATACATTTCAAATTATTTAAAATGTGGTTTGTGATAGCTCATTCTATGAGGGTGATGATAATCCAAATGTGCATGATATATCGATGACTTGCTCGTTCTACAACTTTGATCTTGGTTATTGCCAGGTAACATGTCACTATTATTATTTATAGAGTAAATTACAATTTTGTCCTTGTGATATTTCAAAAGTTATGGTTTTCATCTAGATATTTCATTTGTTGCACAAGAGGTCGATAAAATTATAGTTTTGTTGGAAGGTTTGTCCCTGGTACTGATCGTGTTGCAAAATGCCAGTGAAGTCCAAGTGAAACATGACTATTTTGCCCTCGTCTTTTTCTCCTTCATCCTATATACCTAAAATTCCTCGATCTCTATCTTAAACTCTAATCAAACCAAAATCCAAAAATTAAACTAAAACTAAAACAAAATTAAGATCCAGGGTACCAACAAACTGAAGAAAAAAACAGAAAACTAAAGGTTGTTAGGTTAGTGTTTTTTTTATCTTGATTTTGTTTTAATTTTTGGGTGTTGATTGGATTTAGTTAGGTCTTTATGAATTAAGATGAAGGAGATTGAGAAGCTGAAGATTAGGGCAAAAGAGTCATTATACTTTAAAACCTTTTTTTTTTTAATGCTGCCAAAGACAAACCTTGCAGCAAAACTAAATTTGATTGTTAATTATTTGTGTTTTTTTTTTTTTAAATTTTTTATTAAACACAATATTCTGCTAATGTTTATAAGAAGTAATCTTTTTTCTTTCTCACAGGGCTTGAATGATCTCTCTCCAATATCATTATTCATCATGAAAGATGAATCACAAGCTTTCTGGTGTTACGTTTTGTTTTTTTTATGGAAAGATTAGGTCCAAATTTCAACCGTGATGGAGGGTATTTTGGTCATTTAATAAAAAAAAAGAGTAATGAAATTGAAACCACCTGCACTCATGAATGGTTGAAGTCCATCAAATTTGAAATTTGAAGGAATTTGACAGAGTTGAATTCTGTCTGAATTTTCAACCAAATGCACCATTGAATGGAATCTTGAATTCCAATTTCCTTGGAATCCACAATTCCAATTCTTGGCTGCAAATCGATTACTAAAAATAGTATTTCAAGAAAATCCAACAGAACTGAATTCTGTCCCAATTGTCAACCAAACACGTCATGAAATGGAATCTCGAATTCCAATTCTGTCGAAACCCGCGATTCCATTTCTTAGCTGCGGTTTCTAACATGTATATTATTACTGTTTTGATATGGCAGCTCATTTCACAACTACTTCAAACAAAACAACTGCTTCTGTTTATACTGGATTCTGATATAATTCAAAAAGGCAAGTAAGTTTACTCTTCGACCCTCACAAACTACACTACTAATTTGACAATTTAGAAAGGTTTTTTTTTTTTTTTTTTTTTTTTTGGAAAAAGACGGTATTATGGTGGCTCAGTTGGACTTAATCACATCATGTCAAAATTGTTGTTTGTTTTAGACTTAATGGGGGACAAAACTTTACATTGTATTTTCATTTGTATTATATAATCAGTAAGGCTTATTATTGATGCTCAATAAGGTGTGTGGTTATTGCATTGAATCTCAAATAAGGGTGCTGGGTGATTACCACTGATTACAAAAAGATCATATGAGTCTATGACCCTGTTTGTGTATTTCCAGAAATACCCATCTGTTCCTAACCTAAAACTTGTGTTATTTATTATCTTCAGGAAATGATGGGATTAACATACTTCATGTTGATTCAATCAAATAAAGATGTTGATTATTGCATGGAAAACACCTTCAACAGTCATTTAGTAGATCTGTTTTTTTTGAAAAAATATATATTTGTAATTTATTCATTTCTTTTATTTATTTTGAAAATTGTTGTTTTATTTAGTGAATTGGGACATCAGGGAAGGGAAATGCCACATGGTGTGTTCTTTGGTGGGTTGAAATGTGAAAAACAAGAGGATGCTGTATCTCTGATGGGGTAATAATCGTTTCCTTTTTGTGAATAAAAATGTTAATATATGAGAATTTTGTTAAAAAAACTTCAATTTTTTGCAGGAACCTGTTCATTCACATCTTATCGGTGTGGTCAATTATGTTAAGGAAGTATCGATCAAGGTATTGCAGTTTTTGTTACCAGATCATATCTGAATAATTAAATAGATAATTTTTGTTTTATTATTAGTAACAATTTTCATTATCGAATATCAATGATTCTGGAAACACTAGATGAATGATTTATCAATCTTCTTAGAGTAATATTACGCTTTTGGTCCCTGAGTGTAGCTGATTTTTTCAAAAATATTCTGTGAACCACAAGTTCCCTTACATTACTCTGATATTCTTAGTTCCAATTCCTTTGACAAATTACATTCATTACTCTGCAACAAGAAAAGGTTTTAGAAACCAAATAAAGCTACATTACATTTTTATGGTGGAGAAAAGGAAAAGAAGATGCTTCTGTGAATCAAAGTTAAGCTTAACACTATAAAAAACACTTGATGCTTTTTATGTTCTTATTTAGCTTTTCTGTTAATGTTTGAAGGTACATTTTTAGTTCCATTGAATCTCAAAAAAGGGTGTTGGGTGATTATGTCTTCATGTTATGAAATTATGAACTTGCTTTATCAAATTGCCACTGATTACAACCTGACAAAGCATGGAAACAATATGTAAGTGAACAGGTAGCTATACGAGTCTATGACCCTGTTTGTGTATTTCCTGAAATACCCCTCTGTTCCTAAAACTTGTGCTTTATTTTTTATCTTCAGGAATTGATGTGCTTTTTTATCAAAAAAAAATGTTGAATATCATAACTTATTTGGTACACCTGGTAATTCTATACAAATTATATTTGTTATTTAGTCAATTCTTTTTATTGAACAACATTTTAGTTGTTCCATGGTTGTTTTTTTTTTTTTATCAACTCTTGATTTCATATTCATATACACATTCTTAATGTAATTTCTCTTTTTTTTTTTTTTTTTTCTCACACGGCTTGAGTGGTCTCTCCAATGTCATTATTCATCACGAAAGATGAATCACAAGCTTTCTGGTGTTGCGTTTTGTTTTTTTTATGGAAAGATTAGGTCCAAATTTCAACCGTGATGGAGGGTATTTTGGTCATTTAATAAAAAAAAGAGTTATGAAATTGAAACCACCTGCCCTCATGAATGGTTGAAAAGGAATTTGACAGGGTTAATTTTCAACCAATTCTTGGCTGTGAAGCGATTACTAAAAATGGAATTTCAAGAAATGAAATCTCGAATTCCAACTCTGTCGGAATCCGTGATTCCATTTCTTAGCTGTGGTTTCGAACATGTCTATTATTGTTTTGATGTGGCAGGCTCATTGCACAATTACTTCAAACAAAACGATGGATCTTCTGTTTCCAGTGGATTCTGATACAATTAAGTAAAAATTTACTCTTCTACCCTCACAAACTACACTACACTACTAATGTGACAATTTAGAGAGTTTTTAGGGGAAAAGATGGATGAGAAGAATGCTCAATTTATATTATACGTAATACACAAGCTAGTTATCAGCCTAAATTACATGTGCTTATTTATTATCTTCACTTCAGGAAATGATGAACCATTTTTATTAAAAAAAAATGATGAATATTGCATGGAAAAGCAGTTATTGCTATCTCTGTATTCAGAAGGTGGATTGAAGTTACCTAATTTTCCCTTATACATACATACATACATGTTCATATCAGTTTATCTTTCTTATTTGTTAAACATACAGACCCCTGAGATTCTTCAGTTGCCAAAGCAGACAGATTAAGGAGAAGCACATCAAAATGGTAAATTCTTTTGGTAGCAATTAACAATTGTAAACAGTACAAAATTCAATTTTAAACAGATCAAACACCCAAGGATCACCTACTCTGCACTTTAGGTGTCTGATGAAATGTCTTAATTAAGTTAAAGAGTTGTTTTGCAGGTGAAAATGTTGTTGGATTGAATTATGTAGACAAAAGTAAATAATCACAAACCAAACCAAATTAAAATATCAAACAACTTTTTGAGCCATTAAAGATTCAATTAGGGAAAGATAATTTGTTATTTGTAATTTTACTCAATTAGAAATAGAAGTGTGTCTTGAATCTTAATCAAACGAAGAGGTGTTGTGATTTAGTGTAACTACTTCCAATCCTTTTGCTCAATCACAAAGTAATAATGTGTTTGGCTTTGCTGAACTTTTCGCTAATTCTGCCTTGTTATCATAATAACAGACATAAACATCATGAGTTTTAATCTTTTTTTCAGTAAGGCTTATTGATGCTCAATTAGGTGTTTGGTTATTTTTTAGGGCTAAATGCAGTAAATAACAACTTTATTTGTCCTTTTTAGCATCCTAGTTTCATCTCTTCTATTACAGTAAAATGGACCCTACTTTTAGCTATTTTCTTATTAGGACATTCTGCTTTGAAAATTGTACCCAATTATATAGCATTGTACTTCCATTTATTTTGTTATTGCAACATAACATACTTTGAAAAATCTGCCCATTTATAGATAGCATCACACTTTGAATTTGTGTGAGGGGACCAATAACCAATTGTGTTCCACTTCCAAGGCTACTACTACAATTTTACACTTTTAGTTCCATTGAATCTCAAATATTATAAAGGAGCTGGTTGATTCCAGCCTTCTTCTTCTATCCACTGGTTACAAAAAAGATTATATGAGCCTATGACCCTGTTTGTGTAATTCCAGAAATACCCCTAGGGCTGTTCCTAAAACTTATCATCATATATCTTAATACTTTAATAGAAGATCATTTTGTTTTCCAATTAGTAACAATTTTCATTATCGAATGTCAGTGGTTCTGCAACAATAATATATGAATGATTGATTTATCAATCTTTTAGAGTAAATATGTATTCATATTTTGAAATTAAATAATCTAATGCAACAAGGTTACATAGAGAAATTATGTGTACACGAATACAATCTTGACCATAATTTTGCTAGTTGTGACAATAATAGAATCTTGAATTCCAAGTTAACTTAAGCAGTGAATTACCAAACACACTACAGAATGTAATTTCTAAGCTCACTTACCTACCGATCCCTTTCTCGATATGTTCTTATTAGTTTTTGTATGGTTTTGTGTGAAGTTTGTTTTAGAATGTCAATCTCACAGAACGTGAGCGTATTTTGAAATGGCTTAGGGGTCAAGATGTTGGAAACGAACCAACGAGAAGGGGAGGGCCTAAAGGTTGGATAACATTGTATAAGATGAAGATGAACAATGACCACCAATCTTCCAAAAAGAATGAATTATTCTAGCCGAATAATCTACAATATAATGAAAAAACTATATGTAATAGTGTATGTAAAAAATTTTCTTTTCTAAGAATGTAATGAATTTTTTTTAACTTGTATACAAAATTTTGTTATTCTTCAAGAAGTTCATTAAATCAAAATATATATTCTTTTTGAATGTGTATTCTTGTATGGTTCAAACATATTTGTTATTTTTTAATATATTAATAAACATATTCTGTCAGAATATCCAAATTACGTGAATTATAATCCCTACAATCAGATTTTTAAAATTAATGGAATCTATTATCCCTTAAAATATGAAATTTTAATTTTTTGAAGTTATGTTAATTGACTAAAATACCCTTAGAATGAAATTAAATGATAATTTTTTTAATTATCTTTAATTCAAGCATATGTATTATTCACTTTCTTAAAATAAGTAAGGGATTGGCCCACAATCATTCCTATATCCACACAACAATTAGTTATAATACAATAACATACATATATATATATATATATATATATATATATATATATATATATATATATATCCAAAACCTGAAAATTCAACAATAAAGATAACATGGTGCTAAGAAACACATTCCATAAGACAAATCAATAAAGTCAACTTAAATTATATAAGATATAGATAGTATCTTAATGATTGTAGTTATCATATATAATTCAAGAGAACTTTGTTGATTTTTCGTATCATGCGCGTTTCTAGGCCACATGCTACTTTCATTGTTGAATATTGGAGTCTTGGGTGTAAACAAGAAGCGACTTAGGTGTAAAGAATGGTAACTGAGGAAATTTTTACTTTTTTAGAAGTTGTCAAATTAAGTTCAACTTGTTTTACAACACATAACTTAAATGTTAACATGATTAAATAGTTGCAAAGAAAGTTATAAAAGCTACAATAGTTATAAAAGCGCATGCTAAAAATGATATATAGTTATGATTTTTGTTATGATATTTATTGAAAAAAATCACAAAAACAACCCAAAAATGATATATAAATTATCATTATTGTGTTTTCTTTAATAAATAGCAATGATTTTTTTTAGTAAAAATGATGTAGATTTTTTTTTGGAAAGGGAACTTCCCTAACGAGGGTTTCCGGACCAGCTTTCGCGTACCGACAAATCCCCCGCTGCAAACATAAAGCTTTGTCTCATGCCCTGGAGTCACTGCAGGCGAACCTCGATGGCCACAAAGGCTGAGTGGTGCCAGGATTTGAACATGGGTCAATAAGTTATCCACCATATTTTCCACATGTCTTACCAAATCACTACAACCCAAGTGGTTAAAAAAATGATGTAGATAGTATCTTTATTTTGAGTTTTTTTTTTTAATAAATATGAGTTTTGCGTTAATAAGCCAAACTTATGGACTCTTTTGCTGATTTCCTAAAACAAAAACAATTCATTGGCAATTTTCTTTTCTATTCATAATTTAGTTTAACTTTTGATAAATATTAAAGATAAATTAAACATCTAGTTTTTATTGGGTTAATGTTACAAAATAGTCATCGATAACTGTTAAATTATTGTGTAAGTCTCTAATCTTTTAAATGTACTTAATATGCCAATAAAAGGTTTTCTTTGTTTCATTAACACCATCAGACTTATTTTTAACTTTGTGTGTCATCCACAGTGGGTTTCTAAGTGTCTTAGCAAGGATAAAATGGCTACCTGAAAATAAATGAACAAGTTCTATAATATTGTATGCTATGGTAGATGCCACGTTATCTAGTTGAAACAATTTTAACCAAGTAACTAAATGTTGGGAAAAAAAAAGTAGTAGAAGAATTAGAAGACTACCTAAGTTATACATAAATGGTTAATAAGGTTTTAACTTTGTCCACATAAGGTCCTTAAGGTTTTTTTGTACATATTACACCAATATGATTGTTATAAACTGTTTAAAAAGGATAATAAGGTTTTAATTTTGTCCATATTAGGTTCCTAAGGTCTTTTTTTGTACATATTATACCAACATGATTGTTATAACCGTTTAAACAAAGATAGTAAGGTTTAACTGTATCCACATTAAATCCCTAGTTTTAATATTTTTATCATTTCATCTAACTCTTTTACAATTTATATTAGTATCTAGTTAGATGGATTCATCATTTCATCTTTTCATTTTAGTCGACCATTCACCACAATAACGATTTCAATCGAAAGGTTACATTACAATTTTTTTCATTTATATAAAAAAAGCTAATAATAATGAAAGTCTTAATGATTAAGACTATGTTTGGTGCCACAATTACCATATAAGCTAGTTTATTTTTCGATATTTTTTAAGTTGTCATGTTTGGCAAGCCAAAAAGTAGTTTATAAACTAGCATTTTAAAAAGCTACTTAGACTAGTTTTTTAAAAGTTTTTTTTTTAATCTCCAAATATAATTAATTAAGAAAACATATTTTTTAAATGCCTTTTTATGTCATTATATAAATTTCAGATAATTTATAAGTCAGTGGCAGAGCTAGAGTCAAAGTAACAGAGTATCATCGACAAGTAATGAGGTATCCCCGATAAGTAATTGTCTATCGGGTATACCCAATTGGCGGAGCTATTACTTATCGGGGATGTCCCATTACTTTTTAGGGATATTCTTTTACTTTGACCTGACTC